CAATTGGAGGGGTTGAGCTAACGACACTTTGCCTCAATGGCTCGAGTGTCACGATCGGCGAGCTCGCTAACGGGTATGTCCGAGTGGAATACGGGTCCGTCGTTCTTGACGGGGTCGGCATAACCCTCATGTGGCATTCCACTGCTCCTTAACCCGTCTCCCGGTAGATGCCCGAGTCGTTTCGGAGACCGACTCAGATGGCCCGCTGGCTTTCCCTCGATGCAGATTCTATGGGCTTGGCTCGAGGTTAGGATCAAACGAGAAGGTCGAGATGACCCTGTCTGCTTCTGAGCGGGTTGGGCAAAGGCCGCTGGGGCTCATCTTCGTTTTCTCCCCTGGCTCTGTTTTGCGCGAGGCGGCCTCGAGCCATTCGCGGGCTGGCCTTCGAACCTCGGTCGGTCGCCGCTCATATCGAATGAGACGACTACCGCTTCGTGATGCGACGCGAAGCGTTGTGATGCAATAATTGTATATGCGATGCTTGGATGTATGGGATGAATGTATGGATAAATGTATGAATATGTGCATGAGAATGGATGAATGTATGAATGCATGCATGAAAATGAATGCTCATGCATTGGAGAAGTAAAGTGGGGGTTGGTAAAGTTACCTCGATGGTTCGAATGACGGATTTGGAGAGATCTTACCGGATATGTTCATGTGAAATCCGGATCTATCGTTCGTGACAGAGTCGGCATAACCCGCATGAGGCATCCTGCTGCTCTCTACCCGTCTCTCGGCAGCAGCCTGAGCCGTCCGATCGTCTTGGGTGATATACTGGCCTCTCATCAATGGAGATTCCACAGGTGGGCCCCTCCAAATCCTTCCTGAGAAGGCGGAGGCTAAAGCTCGGGGTGCGGGGACGAAAACTTTAATCACGCTGGTGAGCAAAACGTCGTGGGCCATTTGAGGTTTCTTCTGATCCAGCCAGTTTTACTCATTTGTTTGTTTCCTTTTGCCTTGCCTTTAGGTTTTAGCATGAGAAAGGGGTCGGACATAGATAATGTCTACCAAATAGACGCTCTTGCCAGCCCCCGAGTGAGGCCCAACCTCTTACCATTGCTAGGATCAGGTGTCACTTAGAGATGACCCGTCTCTCTGGATGGCTGAGAGCCATCTGGTCGACTTAGGCGACCTACTGGCCTCTCCTCGATAGAGATTCTGCTGGTGGGCCCCTCCAGACCCTTCCTGGGAAGGCGAAGGCTAAAGCTTGGGGTACGGGGACAAAAACTCTGATCACGCTGGTGAGCAAAAACGCCGTAGCCGCTGGGGCGTAGGTTTCTTACGGTTTGACCAGTTTTACTCAGCATTTGTTTTCGCACCACCTTGGCTTTAGGTCTTAGCGTGAGAAAGGGGTCGGACATAGAGAATGTCTACCGAATAGACACTCTTGCCAGCCCCCGAGTGAGGGCCGACCCCTTGCTGTTGCTAGGGTCGGGTGTTACTTAGAGATGACCCGTCTCTCGGTAGCGGCCCGAGCCGTCCGATCGACTTGAGTGTCCTGCTGGCACAGGTCTTACCTTGATGGCTCGAGTGATGGGTTCGGAGAGCTCTTACCGGACATGTCCGAGTGGAATCCGGGTCCGTTGTTCGTGACGGAGTCGGTATAACCCGCATAGGGCATCCTACTGCTCCTTACCCATCTCTCGGTAGCGGCCAAGCCGTCCGATCGACTTGTGTGACCCACTGGCACAGGACTTACCTACGGAGATAGATGATGAGATCATCCCGCCCAAAAAATTAGTTAAGCAGATAAGCCAGGTGGCGAACTTGTAATAAATGGACAAGCTCTTAAATTTTGTTATGGTCAAACAACTTTTTAGCCCTTCTCCTCTTTTTTATTAAAAGGTTAGTGCGTTCCGACCCTTTTCGTCGTTGAGGCCGTAAAGCTCGGGGTGCGGGTGAACAAACTCTGATCACGCTGGTGAGTAAAAACGCCGTAGGCGCTGGGGCATAGGTTTCTTGCAAGTCCGACCAGTTTTACTCAGCGTTCGTTTCTGCAACCCTAGCTTCTAGGTCTCAACGTGAGAGAGGGTCGGGCACAGAGAATGTTTGCCAGGTGGATATACTCTTAGACGCGTACCGACTCTTTCCGTAGTTAAGGCTAAAAAGCTTGGGGTGCGGAAAAAACTCTGATCATGTTGGTGAGCAAAAACGTCGTAGCCGCTGGGACGTAGGTTTCTTGCAGTCCGACCAGTTTTACTCGGCGTTCGTTTCTGTAACCCTTGTTTCCAGGTCTCAATGTGAGAAATGGTCAAACGTAGAGAATATCTACTGGATAGATATGCTCTTATTAGCCCCCGAGTGAGGCCCGACCCCTTGCCGTTGCTGGGGTCGGGTGTCACTAAAGATTGGGGAGTCGATAGCGAAACTGATAAGAGAAAATGTGCGTATATTAAGGGTAAAAGCGACATAGCTGCTCGATGTTACAGGCATTGATGAAGACTTCGTCGTCGATGGTCTTGAGCTTGTAGGTGCCTGGTCGGAGCACCTCCGTGATGACGTATGGTCCCTCCCACAGTGGAGAGAGCTTGTGGCGGTTTTTGTTGCTCTGGATGAGGCGGAGCACCAGGTCCCGACGTTGAAGGCCTGACCCCACACTCGACGGTTGTGGTACCGACGTAACGCTTGCTGGTACCTGGCCGAGCGGAGGAGGGCAACGTTGCACGTTTTATCTATCTGGTCTAAACCAGTTGGGGTAACTGAGCGGGGCAACGTCATGTTTTAAATTGATAATATTTTAGTTAGACAATGGCTATTTTATATGTATTTTATTCTTATGCAATTATGAGCAATTTGATTCAGCACACTTATATCTGTTTTCATGTACGTGAATGCTAAATTGCAAAGAGAAATGAGGCAGCAAGGTCGGCAAGCTATATACGCAACCAAACGACGAAGCTAGCTGGGCAAAAAAAACCAAACGTGCTGTAGTGGCAAGGTTGACCTTGTTGAAATTGGCAAGCTTGCCCAGCTGAGCTATATCCCAGATCAGCAAGACTACCAAACGCACCCGTCATGGTAATGTAGGAGTGTAATTATCCTAGAAATACGATACACTTTAGGCTTAGTATATTCTTTTTACCTTGAAGCAAAATCAGTGGATTTTATCATAAAAACTAGTTCTTCAACATGTGCATTTACATTTGTTAGTGACTTTTAAGAAGTATATGTTAAGAATTCAAGGCCTACTGCTAACGAAAACTTGTTGAACCTGCTCTCTCTTATAGTTTGGTTGGTGCTCTCTTATTCGTATCGAGTTATAGTAGACATTAATGACTAATAACTCATATAATTTTGCAACGATAGATTTAGGTGCTTTCACAAGCAATTATTACGCCTACTATATATAGACTAATTTTAACAGTGATGGAGATGAGTAATCTACATGCAAATTTTGGTCACCCTATAAAATTTTCCGCTACTGACAGTGTAGCTTTTATGAAGGTTAATGGTACTTAGGTTCTTTTTCGTAATAACAGAAATGTGTAATTTTGATACAATTCTTGGGAATTATTTTATTTAGAGCATCATAATAACAAAGGTTGACAATTTTTTTAGAAAGCATAATAGACCAAATGACAATCATTGTATATGACTATCATAAAGTACCGAATGTCTTATATCTTTTGTGCGAATGTATAGAACCTATTCTTTTCTATCTAACATGTCTCGTCGTCTTTAGCCTTTGTTTGGGACATGGTTTCTTAATGGGGTTCAACTATGGTTTCTTTGGCTCCGGCAAAAGCACTAATTCAAGAAATGGCTTTGCTAGATAAACACAGATAAGTCATTTTTTGTACTACAAGCGTAAAACCACACAAACATTACTTATCTAACTTTTCCGACTCTTGGGCGAAGCCGGTTGCAAAGAGGTACTAGCGCATCGCTAGAAAGTGCCTCACGTAAAAGGCTTGGAAAAGAGTCTCTGACCAATACTAGTAAGCCGTTTTAGATAAGATTAATGGAATGATTTATATAATTTGGGATGGATGAAGTACGTCGCTAGAAAAATGCCTTACGTAAAGGCTTGGAAAAGAATCTCTAACATGTTCGTTTGTTGGTTTCAGCCAGGGCTTATCAGTCATGGTACAGTGTTTTCCTCTCACAGCAAACCAGCACCAGCCGGGCTTATCAGCCCAGAAACTAACCCTCGCTGTAAGCAGTTAGATAAGAATTAAGATTGATGGAAGAAGCTGGGTCAATTAGTATTGCTTATAGACAAGTCTGCAGACGTTTGCACTCAAGTAGGCATGCACGCATCCGTGTTCTACATGTCTACAACTATGCCCCGTTCGCTTCACAGAAAAAAAACAAACCGAAACACTGTTCCGATGTGTAAGAAAAACACTGTCCCGACTAAAAAACCAAGCTAAAAAGTATAAATTATAAACGAACAGAGCCCTAGTCGTAGTGAAAGTGATAACAAAAGCCTGTGTGCACTAACTCCTTTGGGCTCCACCTAAGCTCGCATAACACATGCACAACACGCCTCATCTATTTCTGGGAACACCATCACCATCTTGGCGTCTCGCCTGGCCTTGCCAACTCGACGAACGCAGAGGTGGGCGAACAGGCACCACAGGCCGCGCAACAGCCTCCAGCTCCCGCAGGCAATCCGCCGGCCATCCGGCCGAGCAAGGAAACGGTCCCCGCGACCCCGACCCCGCCCCCGCAAAAGATAAATAAAATCCGGCGCGGCACAGTCCCTAGGACGACGGACGGAGAAGGATACGCCAGGCGGACAGGGGACGCCACAGCGGGCGGGGGACGAAGCCGAAAAAATCGCCCCACGACCACGAAGCTTCCAGGAAGCTCACTCCCGCGCTCCCCGCCCGCACGCCTTTTTATCTCCCACCTCCCGCCTCCCAGTCCTCTCCATTCCTCCTGTCCACCACCACCAGCACGTCCACCACCCAAGCCCCTCGGATCGGATCCGGTCCCGTGTTGTGTTCCATTGCCAGCCAGCGGCGCCGGCGCAGGAGACGGAGAAGGCGAAGATGAAGCTGTCCATCCAGTCGCTCGCCAGGAAGCTGTCCCTGCCGTCCCCGAAGCGGGGCGGCGGCGAGGACGGGAAGAACAAGAAGAAGCGGTCGCTGTCGCGCGGCGAGACGCCGTCGTTCGCGTCCTCGACATCCTCGTCCTCATCTGACGACGCGCTGGCACGGTCCTCCACGCCGCGGTCCGTGCTGCTGACGCCGGCGCCGGCAGCACCGCTGGAGATCCCGCGGCGGGAGCTGGAGGCCGTGCTGCGGCGCCTGGGCCACGCCGAGCCGTCCGACGCCGAGCTCGACGCCGTGGCCGCCCTCGCCGCGCAGCCTCCGCCTGCAGACGCCGACGGCGACCTCATGGAGGCGTTCCGCGTGTTCGACGCCGACGGCGACGGCCGCATCACCGCCGAGGAGCTCCGCGCCGTCCTGGATGGCATCCTCGGCGGCGGGCCCGACGGTGGGTGCAGCCTCGACGACTGCCGCCGCATGATCGGCGGCGTCGACGCCGACGGCGACGGCTTCGTCGGGTTCCAGGACTTCGCGCGCATGATGATGACCGCCACCGCCGCCACGTCCGCCGACGCCCGGACCTTCCTGTGATCCGTCCGTCCATTCGGCTTCTCCATCCCCGTCCCTCTCCCCTTCCCCGCCAACGCCAAGCATCACCATGGCCCTGATGCGCGCCGGAGATCATCTAATCTGCTGCGGCCGCGAGCGAGACGCGAGGCCGTCTTCTTTTGTGATGAAGGAAAAAAGAGTCTTTTCGGCGCGCAGGATGATAGGCTACCGCCTCACCTACTAGTTATTATTGTTATAAAAATGTTTGCCTGCTGCTAATCCATGCACGATAGTAGAAGGCCCCGTGCATGCAGCTTGTAAAATCCGTTCGAGTGAGTGAGTAGTGACCGGCATGCATGGCGAATGGATGCCTCGTTCTTTCAATTTTTTTATTTGAATTCATTTGAATCCTGCTGCTACCGGTTGTGCGTGCATGTTCGTTCTCCTCCTCACTTCCTCAGAGTCCTGTCGAGATTCGTATTTGAGAATTTGGTGGAATCTTGGCTGCATGCGTATGGAATGAATGAATGATTGGAGATTCGAGTTCGCGTGTGCCCGACTGCCGAATGCGACGGCAACGTGGCGAGCCAGCGTCTCAGCTGCTGACTGAGACTGACCAAGCGAGAGTGCCCTCTTTGTCCGTTGCTCCTCGTCTTCTAGTGCTACCATGTTGCTTCCGCTCACCTTCGTTTCGTTTCGTTGCTGTTTGTCCTGTCACCGAGCATGAAGTAGCAACATTGCTCTTCTTTCCTTTCCAAAAACCCTGAACAAGACTCACGGGTTACAATGAGTAAACTGGGCCTTGACAGAAGTTTATATATGACGCTACCAAAAGGGAGATACGTACTGCACACTTATCTTTTGTCATTGTTAGTTGCTTTTGTTTCTTTTTGTTTTATCAGACCAGAAATTTTCTTCAGCGCCCAAGATAAGGCTCTCGTGACCTGTAACTGTATTTTTGGTACGAACGTCTATAAGTTCAGAAGAATGCTGTCATGCCATAGCCATATGCCCATATCCGCTAGCCCCTGGTTTCCTCACTCTCGTTTCTGAGGCAATTCCGGCACATGCTAGCTACTCATATTCGTCTTTGTTTGTTTTCTCCCTACCAGGAAATGACAAAAACTGTGTGTAGTAGTTGTTGTTGTTCTTCTTCTTCTTCTACTTCTTCTTCCTCTTCTTCCAGGCCTTGCCTTTTCCACAGTTTTTTTAAAGGGTTAGCAGGAGCACTGCATATTCATTAGAGTAGGAAGGACTATTCATTTTCCACTGTTGTTCAAAGAAAGGGCCCGTCAGTTTCCAACAAGAGAATTGCAAGGCAAGTTTCGGTCTCACACAAGTTTCAGTCCCTATTGGTATCCTCCAAGGGTGCAGTGGAGTGCAGCCTTTTTTAAGGATTAGTACTCGGGTAGTACCTTTTTGTGCTTGAAGCAACCGCCAGGTTCGCTTCAATTTTTCAAAAAAAAAAAACAGCTTCACCCGGCGTAGAAACCACATCTCATCAACACCGTACTCATAGCGAACCATGATCACACAACAATCATACTATTAAGTAAATCGAACTCATATAGTCATATACAGGTACAGTAATCAGACACAATCATGCAGATGATGAGCACTGACTGCAAGTTGCAAAGTCAGGCTTGGAGCAATTGCACAGAAATTTTCAGCATCCAAGATTCACCGGGGAAATTGCATTCGAATTCCTAGACAGAACCCCGAGACTAGAAAAAGCCATCTCTTTTGCGTTTTGACAACGAGTGACGAGTAACGACAACACTCCGGCATCCAGGTACGAATCTGCAACAGGACTTGCGTTTGGGCCAGGGGAAATTGCACACCAGTTGCATTGCATGGGGTCAGACCAGTCGAGACCGCCAGAGGAAATTGCACAAATTTCAAGTCTATAGGCATTTCTGTTCGGCAGGACTTAAAAATAAATCAAAATACTGTTCTAGATAATTATTGTGAGAAAAAAATATTATTATGTCTGAAAACACTGTTCACGTGAACAATAAAAGTGTGACTGCGCTGGCCAGCCCAGCCCCGACCGGCCAGCCAGCCGAACGCAGCCTGTACATTGGATGCAAGTTCCAGTTGTGCTGCCGACATGCGAGCATGGTTACATTATTTACGGATAGCTGCTCTGAAATCTCTGAACTTTCCGGTTAATCCGTGCGGTTGGTTAGTACTCTCCCTCAGTCCAACAAAGAATGCAACTACACTTTGCGTGTCGGCAAAAGTAGTTCACATTTGACCAACGAGCTATTCGGCTGATGATTTCTATGGCTCATAAGTCGGCTAAAGCTGATTTGTTGTGAGAGAAAAACACTATTATATGACTCATAAGTCCAAGCGACAAATTTCTAGCAAATGCTATTCACATTTAAGACTCCAAATTAATTTATTATAAAAATACATTTCGTAATTCATCTAATGATATTTATTTGATATCATAAATACTGATACATTTTTATTTATGATTAATCAAACTTAAGATACTAAATCATTATACGGTGCTAGAATTGTATTCTTTTTTAGACGGGAGGTAGTATACTCTATACTGCTATTTATACTATTGCCCACCAAATGAGTGCTATTTTATCAAGGCACAGGCACGTCCTTGGAACACTGAACACATGCATGGAGTCAGGTCAAAGCAGAGTATTTGACCCAAGGGAATATCTGCTACTGCTCCATACTGCGCCATAATATACTGGAGCACAGTACCTGGTGACAGGTCCTTTTAGTACTTTATTGATACCAGTGTTATTACGGAAAAATTTACTTAGAACATGGACACCAACTGTACAGATATGTAAGCAAGGATACGTGTCACAAATCTAATCGATGGATATTCATAATTGCTTTAGAGCATCTCCAACAATCCTCAAATTTCCACTTCTAACGAGAAAAAAACTGTAATTTAAGGGATTTGAGAGCTCCAACGGTATCCCAATCTCACCCCAAATGAGCAAATTTTTTCCCTCAGTCGCTCAAAATCTAACCTCTGATCCCTCAACGATGAGGGGCTTGGACTCGCCAACAATACGAGCAGTAGCATGCACCTGACGTCTTCCAAGTCACCAGCGGTCTCGGAGTCTTTTCCATTGTCAGCAACGGCGAGCAACACCAGGCGCCGGCGCCGGCGGAGGAGCAGTATTGGAGGAGCGTAGGAAGGAAGGGAATGGCGGCGGAGGAGGAAGAGGAGTGGTGGCGGAATCAGATGCGGCGCTCGGAGTAGTGGCGGAAGAAGATGCGTTGCTGGGTCGGGAATAGAGCGAACGGGTGGGGAGAAATGGTGTAGACAATTTGACCTCACATGTTAGAGGAGGTATTGGGGGTGAGAATATGAGATTTTCTGGTTCTATTGGAAATGAAGCCTTTTAAAACTCTCAAAATAAAGTTATAGCTCCCGATAACTAGTCTTGAGGTTGAGGTTTTCTACTAATACTGGAGATGCTTTACGGGTTTATTCCATTATTAGTACTGCCTTGACATGCTGATCAGCACATTGGTTGCGACTCCCCATGACATGATATTAGGCTGCAGCTTCCCCTTGTTTACGATTGCGATGCCCTCTTTCGTTTTTGATTAGGGAACTCCCCAGGTAGGGAGTAGGCTGCCGGTGAACCTTCTCGCCGGTTTCCATGCATTGCAGCTTTTGAGGCCGTTCCGTTTCCATGCCGACGAGACGAGACGAGACGAGACGAGACGATGACAGCAACAGCGACGCCGTAGCCTTCTCACATCACATCACATCACATCACATCACATCACATATGCGAGCCGAGGCCCCGGAGGTCGGACGCCGGAGCGGAGGGGCCCATCCGTGCCTCGTGAGTCGGGATGATGGTCCCGCTCGCTGCCTGCTTCACTGCTGTGATGGTGTACTGGTGTTGGTGTCGCAGAGCAGAGCAGTGGTCACATGCGGATTCAGTACAGCCAGCTTTCTGCTTGCCTCTGGCGGTGTGGTTGGCCCAGTGAATCCAATGCCATGCCTGACCTGTCCAGTGGCCAGGGGAGACGAGGACGACCCATGTGTTGGTGCTTGGCTGCTAGCCGATGTGCTGCGAACTGCAAAGACGTTGTAGATTGGATTACTTGGCCTGGTTCTCTTTGCAAATTTTTTCAATCCGATAAATAGTACTACTTTCGTCTTATTTGATAAATATTGTTCAATCGTAGATCAACTAGGCTCAAAAGATTCATCTCATGATTTCCAACTAAACTGTGTAATTAGTTATTTTTTTTACCTATATTTAATACTCTATGCAAGCGATTAAAAATTAATGTGATGAAGAGAGAGTGAAAAAAATTGAAATTTGGATGACATCTAAACAAGGCCTTGGATTGGTCGAGAACTACTACTACGAGTAAACCTACACACAAGTGGGTTTAGGAAAGGTTTTCCTCCAAATCTCAAGGAAAGCGAGCGAGTAATGGCTGCCGGTTAGGCGCAGCTTTCACACCTACGGAGAAGTACCTAACCTAGCCTAGCCAAGCCAAGTTTGTCTTCTTCACTCTACCTTTTTCTTTTCTGATGAATGGCGCTTCACTTTTGCAGGCGCAGGGAGTACTCCTACTCTGTCCGCGCGTGCGCATGCATATGCACATGCACGGCTCTGCTTCTTTACCTCCGTCAAGTCGTCGTTGTTCTGTGCTAGTAGCTGACTGCGGCTGTGGCCGTGCTGGGAAAAAAAAGAGGATCCGAGGACAGTGCTTTGTTCCGTTGTCCAGTTTGCTTCGGACTCGCTTTCAGGTTCTTCCCATGGACAATTTCCCGGTTCCTTCTCCTTTCCTTGAGGTTGCTGCTTCAGGCACTGTGGCGTTCAGCCGTTCAGGCAGAGCAGTCAGCACTCAGCAGTGCACGGACATGGGCGCCTTGCGTTGCCATGGAATGGGAGTAGTACGTACAGTGTGTCCAAGCAACCTGGTGGTGCCGTGGTGGTGGCTGGTGCAACGAACTACGCACAGGTGGCCTACAGGCTACAGAATACAAGCACAAGTCGCAGCCGGCCTGCTGGCATGCAAGATGCAAC